GCTCCACCAAGTATGCCAGCCCTGACAGGGACGGGCACACCCCACTCACTCCACAAGGACTGAGGGGACATCTATCCCCTCAGTCAGGACATACGCCATCTATGCGCCACACTGCGCAGACAAGACAACACTGCCGAGCAGTGATGATCGGTATGGCGTCCCACCGTCCAAACTCAGCCCGACAAGATAGGTGTACGGCCCCACCCACTACGATGGGGACCTCGACCTTGCAGTCCAAGGTCAAGGCCGCTGGCACTACGATCAGCAAAGACGACCGACGACCAGGGGGCAGCTACCTACTCCCGTACTATTGCCACGACACCACCAGAAGAATAGAAGACGATGACGAAGGCCACGGCAAGACCACGTCGCGCAGGACAGTTAGAGAATCACCACCGTGCCAATAGTGCCGTCACGCCCGCACTGTAGCATCATGCCACGCCATGCCGCGACGTGGGGAAAAGACCACGACGATGACCGTACTAGGACGTGCGCTGACACCAGGACAAGACAACCTTCCTTGCCACCCAAGCTTACTAGTTTCTCCCTCCCTCATACTCACGACCACTCGGTTAGGAGAACCTCTCTCTGTATGCAACCTGGCCCTCTGACTCTATATAATGGTGGCCAGGCCTCCCATCCAAGAGGACGGACTCCCGAACTTCATTCGAGCATTCCTTCACCTCACTCCTACTACCTCTTTCCATTAGCTTACACACCCCATTGTAAGAACTTCGGAGCATTCAACCGAGGAACACGAACTTGAACTATCTCTGAGACTAGACGTAGGGTTCCGGCCTAAACCAATATACTTCCTTGTGTCTTTGGATGCTATCATTATCTTCCTAGAGAAGCGCAACACACGTATAAATTCACTAGTCGGTTGACAAAACACTAACACTTGGACATTGGCAAATTTGAGCTAAGTCTGTGATTTTACCATTAGATTGACATATGTATATTTACCACAAGATGGACTGATTTTTTACCATGGCTAAGTCTAAACTTGATGAGACTTGTTTTGGTGTCATCTCCTCAGAGAGTACTCAAACTCGTAGTAAGGTATCAAATTTAGCTGCTATACAAATTTAGAAGATAAAATGTCGCAAACATGTCAATTCACTGCTACCGATCAGGGACTTAGAAATTTTTTGGAGGGGCCAAAACAACACTGTATTCAAACTTGTGGTCACTATTTAGCCATGTTAAAGACCGATTTAGGTTTAGGTCGAAAAACAAAGTTTGTTGCACTCAGCTCAAACTACAACTTCTGTTAAAAGTCAAACTTTATATCTAGAAAGGAAACTATAGTTTTAGCCTGATCAAAATAGAGTGTTACATTTATCACTAGATTTTTGTAAAAAGGTTGTCCTTGTTAGTTTCTCATTATCATTTTATTTTGCATAAAAGTGACAGTTATCTAAGGATATTCTTGTGCTTAAAATTGACGTTGTTCATGGATCCAATAGAAATTCCAACTCCATTTCCTGTTGAAAATGGTAACCATCAAAGAAATAAGTTATTATTATTATTAAAATTCTGTAATGACGGTTCAAAATTCTTACATTAAATAAGTTAATATTTTCTACAGCTGATTTGTCATCTGTTGCTTATGAGCATTATTGGTTAGGCCAGGGAGAGATGCATATTGAGCATGTGATCTATTTGAGTTTGTGATCGAGACAACTATGGTGCTTCATTCTAATTCACCTTTTCATATGGAAATGAATGGTTTGTGGACATTTCCTGGAGAGGTAGATGTTTTTGTTTAGATTTTGTTGTAAGTGAGGCAGGCAAGAAGGGCAAGATAATATTAAAGGCCCTTTGCAAGAAAGAACAACAAGGTATTTGGTTTGGACACTTTGGTTTGGATAACATTGTTGTCACTCGAGGGAAAGGCCAAATTTAGAAATGTGGTCCTAATCAGACATCTAGATGAGGATGCATTCAACGAGCAGCTAGAGATTAATTATGACTGTACCCATGAGATCATTGCTTAGATATATGTTCATCATGTCCCAAAAGATATCGCTCAGCTCTTGCTTTTGATGCAGAATGGTTTTGCAATGAGAGTGAAGGATAAGAGAAGAGAGAGAGAGAGAGTTGAACTGTGATTTGGCCAAAGGTGTCTCTCCACTTCCTCCTCTCCCCATTTTTATGGGGGAGGTGAGGGAGAAGATTCTCTTTATACCCCCGGTGGGGTTTGTATTTACAGAAACACCACTGAGGGGCTTCAAATGGTTTGTATTTATAAAAATACCACTAAACGCTACAAATCGGTTCGGGTATTCGTGCCTTTGACCAGAATGTATTTCATATCCTTGAGTATGCCTCTGAAATTAGTTCGGTTATTCGTGTCATGATGACCGACATATTGAGGCCGCAATATTCGTTTCCCTCGCTGTCCAAACAGCAATGCCACCCTATTTTGCAATCATGTTCCCTGGCTAACAAACACACTCAAAATGACTTGCCCTTTTGCCCAAACACACTCGACTTAGTACCTAATAATCCCACAAAACAGATTATTGATTCGTGAAGTGAATACCATGCTTTTGTTGTTAGACATGTCTGCTATCCGCCGATGTCCAGGTTCATTGTGCACCGGTGTGCGACGGCGTTCATCTTCAAATGTTTGACCATATCAGTAAACCCTTTGGCATGAGTGTGTATTTAGTTGATGCACACAATCCTACCAAACATATTTCCCAAAAGTTTGGAAAACATATGCCTTCTATTGATCATCACCACAAGCATGCCACCTAATGTAAATCAATACCCAGTCTTTGTCTTCTTTACAATCTATTCTAATGTCTCTAAAATATACCTATCATCCTCAACACTATATTATGCTCTACCAAACAAGACCTTGTGTTTAAAACCTAATACATATCCAGAAATTTCAGCGCACACTGCACATTTTCCGCGCAGTGGAGGCTAGAAAGCCTCTCGATCTCTTCTTTGCGTGTGTGCGCGTGTGGTGTGAGTGTCGAGTGTGTGGGTTGTGTGCGTCCAAGTTGTATCCGATAAAAAAATATATCAGGTCCTAGGTTTGACTCCTCGTGGGAACGAATTTTACAGGATTTTTAGTGGTAGGCGACATTCTCGTCGACAGCGAGACGCCTATGGTGACTTTACCATTTGTCAATTCTAATCTCAAAAAATGATTAAATCAACTAGAATGACATTTAACAGTAATTAGTTAGCTGACTAAACAAACGTCATTGAGTACCCTCTTTGCATCTCCCAACATGCCACATCATCTATAAATTACAGCCTTCTTCGTTCGTTCTTTGAGAGTTAGAGGCCAGCAGCAGCGGCATATGCATGAGAGGCCAGTCACCCGGAAGATGAACGAGGATGCAGGAAAGAGGCAGGAGCAAACAAGAAGGAAGATGGAGTTCTTTGTTTGTTGCTAGCAAGTCGGCAAGTCGCCCTGGTCCTGTTCCTATACGTGTCTAATAGGGCCAGGCCTAACGGGGCACGAGGCACGGCTTGCTAAAGCCCGGCCTGAGCACGACACGGCCCGCTAAGGTTCGTGCCTGTGCTAGTTTGGTAAAAAAAAATCTAGATCACGAGAGGAAAGGTGCTAAATCATAGGAGTGCATTATGTCGCGACTGGTCACGTGTTTTTGGTAAGAGCACGACTGTACTTCTTCCTTGAACCAGGCCAGTGCGCTCCCACCTCCGGCCTCGACCGCCGCTCCATCCTGCACACCCCTAACCTAACCGGAGGAGAAGAGCTTGAGTATCTCGTCCCCGCTCGTGCCCCTGTCGGCTCTACCCATCCGGTTGTCTCCCGTCGCCCACTCGACAGCACCCCCGCTGCCTCGCTCAACGCACCAACCTGCCACCACAGCCGGTTCGGCCGCCTCCTGAGGCCCCTTCCCCCTTCTGAGGCCGACAGGCATGGAGTCCCGAGCGTAGGAAGAAGACGACATGACGGGTCGCACACTCATGCTTCCGAGTGAAGCGTCGTGTGATTGAGTTTGTGAAATCATAGGTGCCTGATTTTTGCATATTTTCAGGTGACAATCATTCATCTAATATAAATTCAACTATCCGAACTCATCTTCATTAACCTTATAAGACCAAACACCTTCTCCCTCTCAGGCCCCTATAGGATCGAAAATGTGGAGAAAAAAACAAGTACAAAGGCTCCGTCCGGCTTGCTGAAACTTGGCTGAATTGGCTGAAAGCACTGTTCTGACTGAATTGTTGTAAGAGAAAAACATTGTTCCAACTAAAAAAACAAGCTGAACAGTACGGATTATAAGGTAAGACGAACAAGACCAAACTCGTTGCACCGGCCTAATAATAATCAAATTAGGCCGTGGCAACGGGCTGCCCCATCATCGTTCTTGAATTGCTATACCTAGGGCTCGATATCGAGCCAGCTCGGCTCAGCTTGTTAATATTACGAGCTAGAGGGACAGCTCGGTTCGGCTCGTTATCGAACTCGAGCTAGCTCGTTTAGCTCACGAGCTATAAAAAAATAGAACACATATATTTATAATGTTTATGCTACATTAATTCTAGAAAGTGATATCCACCATTATGTAACCATACATGATTAATACATATCAGGTTCATTAAAGGTATCAACCATGCAAGAGGCCAAAGCCTTCTTCCGAGTCCGAGGCCGAAGCCTGAGCCACTGTCACGCACCCTGTTCGTTTTGGCTGAAACGATCGTGGATTATTACTGCCGGCTGGTTTGGTGTAAGAGAAAAATACTGCTCTGGCTTATAATGCACGGTCGTAAGCGAACAGGCCGACGATCACTCGCTCGCGCGCTGAACACGTCCTGCAGGGTGACCTTCAATCTGTGGACAATTACAAGATGTAACGCAAAATACAACCACCGTGTCGGACACACACACCAAAAAAAAACGCGAGAAAAAGCTAGCTAGTACAAACTCGTTGCACCTAATAATAGTCAAACAATTAAAACGCGAGAAAAAGCTAGCTAGTACAAACTCGTTGCACCAAATAGTCAAACTAGGTCGTCACAACGGGCGTCGGCGTCGGCGCCCGATCATCGTTCTTGAAGGTGATGCTGTACCAGTGATCCATGTACAGCGTCTCCCTGCAGAGATGGACGGTGAAGCCTTCCTCCGAGCCCGAGCCACCGTCATGACCACTCGCTCGCGCGCTGAGCACGTCCTGCACGGTGAACTTTGGCGGGCTCCGGCAGTACCCGTACGACTGCAGCCTGCCGCGCACGGGCAGGAGCTCGAGCAGCACGCCGACGTGCATGGGGCGGCGCTCGCAGCTGACGATGGCGGCGAGCACCCTCCGCCAGAACCGGGCGTCGAAGTTGGCCCTGAGCAGCGTGCCGAGCACCCGCGCGTCCAGGAACGTGCGCTCCAGGTGCTCGGAGATCTCCCGCGCCACCGCCGCCACCCGCGGGTGGTCCCGCGGGTCGGCGCCGCCGAACGCGAACGCCTTGAAGTAGTACCAGTACTCCTCCTGCTGCAGCTTGTGCAGCACCACGGGGTCCGCCGTGCCGAGCCGGGCGAGGTCGGCGTCGCGGCACGTGAGCAGGAGCTTGCTCCCGTCGCCGAGCGGGGTTGGGGACGACGCCAGCGCGGCCCACGCCGCCTCGTCCATGGGCCAGGCGTCCTCAAACACGAGCAGGGACGGGGACGGCCCCGCGAACCGCGGCTCGGCGAGGATGCGGCGCACGCCGGCGAGGTACTCCGGCCCGCCGCTCTCCCACATGTACTGCCCCGGCAAGCCGCCCGCACGCACCACGTCGGGCGTCTCGAACCACTCGATGCGCGCGAAGTGGCCGCGCACGCGCTCGTCGTCACACGCGTGCTTCACCAGCGTCGTCTTGCCCACCTTCTTGGCGCCCACCACGGCGAGCACGCTCAGGTACGGCGCCCGGCCGCTGGGCGCGCGCTGCAGCAGGAAGTCCACCACGCGCTCCTTCTCCACGTGGCGCCCGAACACGCACCGGTCCATGTACAGCGTGGTGCGCACCGGCCGGTGCACCTTCCGCGGGTACCCTTGCACCAGCAGGATGAACTCGCGCATGTAGTCGCGCGTCAGGCCCTCCAGCTCCTCGACCACGGCGGCCAGCCTCTCGGTGCCCCCGTCGCCGCCGCTGCCGCTGGCCCCGGCGCCCAAGATCAGGCTCGTCACGCGGGAACGCTTCGCCCTCTCGAACGACGGGCAGAGCGCGAACGATCTCTTGCCCGCGTTACTGGCGGCGGCGTCAGTTGTAGTGTCGTCACTGTCGACGTTGTCGTCGTCGTCGCCGACGGTGTTCCTGCTGGCGTCGTCGAGGTCGGTCACCTCGAGCGCGAAGCGGCCGCGGTACATCCCCGCGGTGAGCGCCTGGAGGTGGGAAAGCAGCTGCTGGTTGGTGATGTGGCGGCCCTCGGCCTCCTCGACCATGCTGCCGATGTTACCCAGCAGCCGCTCCAGCCGCCGCCGGTGCAGCTCCCTGTCGCCGGGAGAGGGCCGGGGGAAGCTGTCGAAGAGGAAGGCAAAGATCCGGCCGAGGATCTCGGACAGCGCCGCCGGGACGACGACTTCCCTGGTGAAGTCCATACTGATACCGGCTCAGTGGCTCGCTCACCCACTGTGGCCGGCCGGCCGTCTCCAAGAATTCGGCTGGGAAATGAAGGAAGACATATATAGATAGACGACGTCCGAGTCTCCGTGTCGTTGTCGTGTCGACGACACGTACGATACGCATACCCTCCAGTTGTGTGGCCTGATCGCCTCTGCCAGTCTGCCCTGGCATGCGCGCAAGGGCTTTTGACTCCTGCTGGTCTCTCGTGGTTTCATGCTGCCTGCCGGTGCCGACTGCCGTACGCCCAAGGGACGTACGCTTGGTCACCGTGATGGTGATCGATCTCTGGTGATCATCTCCGTGTCCAGTGCCGGTCCATAGGGGTTTAAGGGCCTCTGACGATCTCGTCGCAACGGCCCCTCTTAGATCATGTATAAATCTTATAATATATAGGTACTAATTTTACTTGCAAAACGAAAGCAAATTTAATAACATATTTTAAATTTAACATGTCTGATAATTATCGAGAAACAATATAGATTAAGCAATATATTTGTAGATGTATGATAATTATCGAGGAACAATATAGATTAAAAAAGTAATATATTTGTTTTTTTTATCACTCATAACAAATGTTTCTTAGGTAACATTCTAAAATTCTAACACCTAAATTAGAAAAAAAATATGACTATACGGGTGCAAAGTACTAGAAATCTGGAATATTATACAAATAATTAATTTGGATTAAAAATAAAAAGGAAAAAAATACCTTGGGCCTAAACAACTGATCGGTGATCGCAATTCGTAAGAAGCCAAGAATCAAGATGTCGTCGTCGTGGAGCCCTGCCTGGTCGCCGTCCTCGTGCGCCGTGTCCGTGTCTCCGGTAGTCTAGCTCTTCGCAGCGGCGCGGCTCGCCAGCTCCGCGTGTGTAAGGCGCACGTCGCGAACTGACGATCAGAGTGTGTTGTGTGCAGCGTGACTCCTCGCCTCCTCTCTACCCGAAGGCCGTGGGGAAAGGAAACTAGGAAAGAAATACCGATGTTGTCTTTTTGAATCGTCTGGCCAGTTCTATGTCTCTCTTCTTATTAGTTTGCTAACGTCTATTGGACTATAGGACCTGAGGGTTTGTATACCTGAGCTTGGGTCCCTCATCCGCTTGGGCCCTCGGCCGTCGCACCTCGTGGCCTACCCCTAGGGCCGGCACTGTCCGTGTCCACCATGGTAGTTATCTCAGGTGAATTTGCCTGCCCCAATGTGCGGGGACAAGGTAAACATACTAGAGAAACACTTACCTTGTATCCATATTGGGGTCAACTAATAAATAACACAATAAATAACACAAATACACTCCTTAGTCGCTTGTTGTGTTGCTTATCCGTTAGTCGACGCGCCCGAGCCCATGCCTACGCCCATGCTCGACCACACCTGCGCCCGTGGCTAGGGTTCCGGCTAGAACCTCATCGGCATTTGGTAAGTTCACCGCCCTCTCTCTCCGACTCCCCCTCTCTTCTTCTCCATATCTGGTGGGCATAGAAGGGGGTTCGGGGGAGGCAGGCCGACCAAGCGGTGGGGACTACGGCGGGTGGTGTTAGGGCCCTTGCAGCGTTGGAGACATCCAGGCCAAGTCTGCGCGAGGGCGTCGTGGTGAGCTCGTCGGCGCTCTGCCCTAGGGTTAGGGTGGGCAGGGTCGAGGGGTGGGTGGGTTTGCGGGCGGCGCGGCGAGGTGGCTCACTGGCAGCCGTTAGTGGTGGGGGCAGGGGCAGGGACGGGGCGAGGACGAGGTTCGCCGCCGGTGACCTTCCTTGTCTTTGGGGGAGGGCGGGGTCGTTGGGCGGCGGCGGCCGGCAGTGAGGCAACCACGCTCGGGAGTGGCGGGGGAGGAAGGGGTGGGGCCGTGGGGAAGGCTGGGCACCGGAGAGCTAGAAGAAACGGGTGGAGAAGATGGAGAAGACGGGTGGGGGAGGTGATGCCACTGAGACAAATAATGGAAACAGTATCAATTGAATAAAGATATTTTTTAGAAACTGGATCCCTCCTAAATACACACATAATAGTATTGTACGTATGTTGTATTGAGACACTGATATTGCCAACTTGCATTTCCACAATGGGTATGGCGAGCACCCCTTATCCTACGGAGTGGGGGCACCAGGCCAGCACATTGGGGAGTGGAGCACGAATCACAAAGTGTGCGAGGCATGGGAGCCAGTGAGAGCACGAATCACAATACGTTTTGGACGCTGGGAGCTAAGGGGTAGGTGCACAACCCATTGTGGATATGTATTTTTGCATTTTCCACAATGGGGAGGGCGAGCACCCCTTATCCTACGGAGTGGGAGCACCAGGCCAGATGCACCGGCTGACCAGCACTCAAATGGAGTATAGACAAAACTCAAGGAACCGTATGCATGGGTGCGTGGCCAAAAAATTCAACCATGATGCCTTTGTTTACCTGGACGGCTAAGACTTGGTAGCATGAGGTCGCCAACCTATGACCATCAAGCATCTTATTTTAGACCCCGGTCATCAATCTATGACTCACAAGGCAACATAGTAATAGACGTCAAGTTGCGGTAGCCGCCCTCTTTATGTAATTGTTGATGCAAAAGTGAATCTGCAAACACAAAGGGCTAATACCCGAATCGATATCCAAAGCGTGCCAGTCGATTTGACCTATTAATCGACAAGGATGAAGATACGAGCACTTTGGTCCTGACAACAGCGATACGCCCGGAAGTCACGGCCAAGAGGTACTCACGCGGAACTCGAGAATCGCCGAAGGTTGCACTGAAACGATGCAACTCGCCGAATCAATGAGAACTTGTAAAAAGGAAAAATATGCAAATTAACGAAGTCGCCGAAAAGTAAGTAGATGCAAATAGGAGTAAAAATTGGTTTTTGATATTGATTTTTTTATTACATTGCCCCTCAATCTATATTTATACCCTGATCTAAAGAGACAAAACCAAATACGACTAGGACACCAAGTCCATATCTAAGGAAACACGTGACTCTTACATGAATCATACTCTAACAAATATAGAAAAGGAAATCAACTCCTATCTATTTCCCTGTCCGCCTCGATTACGATGGAATTCTCACCGACCTCCTTTCCATCGGCATACTTCCTGTTTCATCGGCAGTAGTTTTCAAGCCTTCCTTCATCGGCATCGACACTAATATCTCCAACCTTATCGGCAACACCCGAGTCTAAATCAACCTTTCCATCGATCACCACCATTCATCGGCAACCATCTTTACAAGCTGATTTTCACGGCTATCAACGTATACAGTAACTCTCCTCCTGCCGATTAGCCCACTCTGATCATTTTGACACGTGCAAAAAACGATGTCAACACATGCCCCCCAATTTTGGAGTATAAAACCATTAATGCTCCGAAATTTACTCCAGATAACGTTTGCCTTCGCCCAATTACCGTAACTCATCCTCCAAGCCAAAACTTGATCTGTTATCAAATCTAATCAAATCTAGTCCTGATTCACGCACCTCAGTAAATATCGCACAATTTCCAACCACTCTTGCCCTGATTATGGTTAAGATACCAAAACAATAATCCATCGGTAAGATCCTAACATAATAATGCCGCCATTTTCAGAATTAAAATATCCTGTACCGAGATCTCTTCCAAGTCATGATTACTTGCCATCAAATCATCTGTACAATCCCTTGATTATCATGCGAACAGTTACCATATCCATCTGAACCACCTCGACCCACATGCGCACGGCATAGAGATAAGTCCAGAATACCCCTACTCCAAGTGGCTTATAAATAGATTTCTCCGGAACGCTCGTCTTCTACCCTCAGACTCCAACCTTTGGCATTCTCTCTTTCCGGCGACGACTCCGACGAACAACTGCGCGACTTCAACCAACAAGAACTTTTCTCCAGCGTCAACCTCGAGTCTCCAGCTCGTGCCCCCATCTACCTCAAGATAATGGCAATCAACTTCGACGTCCCTGCGGTTCGTTCCACTTCCGTTACTTTTTACCTCGATTCCTCCGGTCTTGGCGAGTTTATCTGCTTGGTAATTTTTCTCTTTTCTTTGTTCTTGGATCCTCTAAACTTAGGAACTTCGCAACAAATTAGTTATTCCAACCGATCACCCGCATTTCCAATGCCTAGGACCAATGGGCAACCAGATCCAAATGATCCGATTAATGCGAGAGGTTAATGAATCCCTTTTAGAGCCCAAAATTTCTCTCTGAATTTATGGAAAGATACATTCCGATCTTGGCCCAAAACCACCAAAGGGTGGAAAGATTGGTACTTGAGGGTCAACAGTGTCGATGCAAGTACACCGGGCGTGAGCGGAAGCTAGACCAATGCATTAGGCTATCCATTGCCGATATGCAAAAGAACGAGTCAATGATGATTGCAAATTTGCTTACTTCTAGTCGGACACAACAAATACTTTTATGTTTGGACATGGCCCTACTACCCCCACACTTGCCGATGTCTACATGCTCACCGGCTTGGACATTTCAACCGCCGATGAAGGCTCCATCTATATGGAAAATCTGAACATAGGGTGAATACCCGCAACATCGGCGGTTGGACGGGATATATTCAAGAATGCCGAGGACCGGGACAAGTTAACTGGAGGGAACATGCCACATTCTTGAATATGTGGTTAGAAAATTTATCTTCGTGGTCGATCAAGAGGGACCAACCAACGCCTTCCTCCTCCTGCTGGTGAACTCTTGGCCAATGGTGTAAGGTTTCCTCTTGGCCGATACCTTCTGAGCTCCACTTATCATCTTCTTCATCAAGTGTCTCAGAAACTTTTGCTTGGCGAATCCATCGGCAATTTAGGAGGCCCGTGGTGGTTTATCAACATGTGGCTGAATGCCCATATGCAAAAAATACGCAATGGGACTTCTTTGCCCAACAATTCCCACGAGAAATTGTTGAAGACCACGTGCTTGGGGATGAGGAATCGGCAACACGCTCACCCCTCAATTTTGGTGAAGCCATAATTGTCCTCCCTCGAACAGAGGCCAATGAAGACC